GGGAGTGCTTGGGCCAGGAGAAATACCCATGTGGCTGCCGCCGCCCTCAGGACGGAAGTAGGCTGCTTCTTTCATTGTGTGTGTGCGTTTATACTCCTCTTTATTAGTGGATAAATATTAGAAAACCATCTCTTGGAAGCTGCAGTCAGGGGCGGCCCGGCTTGCCCAGCCGACGGGGGGGCGGCCCTTCGGGGGGCCCCGGCCTGGTCTGCAGTGTGAGGCTGTCCCGCCAGGGCTCATAGACCAGTGTGTAGCTCTCTGCCCTCTTGACGGTGAACTTGTAGACACGGTTGGGCAGCAGGTTGTGGACGTCGAAGGTGCAGGCGGCCACGGGGATGATGCCGCGCTGCAGGTACTCCTGCTGTGTCCGTGGGTCCAGCAGCTTGAAGCGCAGTTCGAACTGTTCCGGCGCCGCTGGCTGGATGGTGACGAACCAGCGCAGGGCGACCCAGTCCTGGTGGGCCACCGACTCCTTGCGGTCAAACATGACAGGCATCTTGGTGCTGAGCATGAGCCGGATGTGCGGGATCTTGGTGGCGCCGACATCAGACACCAGGCGGTGCTTGATATGCAGACGCCCTGGCACCATCATGGCCAGGAAGTTGTCCATGACGGCCGACAGGTCTGCCAGCCGCTGCTCCACGAGTGCCCAGCCCGCCAGGAAGGGCCGAGGGTCAGGCGACTCGAGCAGGGCATCCAGCTGGGCACGGCCGAGGTCCAGCTGCTCCAGCAGGTCTCCGAGCAGCAGGAGCTGGATCTTGGTCTGCGCGGTGCCCACCTTCTTCATGCGCTGGAACTTCCAGGGGTCGATGAGCTGGAACATGGTGCTGGGGAGCACCAGCGGGTTCTGGTCGCCCAGGGCCAGGTGCTTGGGGAGGATCTCGATGTGGTAGGAGCACTTCCTCAGCAGCTCCATGCGAGCGTGATGGCGCTTCAGCAGGTGGGGGCTCAGGTCGCAGGTCAGGAACTCCCGCAGCGCATTGCGGCGTGCTGTGTAGGTCCGCCACGCCTCTGGCTCCAGCAGCTGCCGGTCCTCGGCCTCCTCCACCTCCTCCTGGTCCAGGAAGGACCGGGGACTGTCCAGCTTCATCTTGTCCAGGCCCAGGCCTGTCACCTGGAAACTCATTGTCTGGAGGGAGGCGGGGAGGGTGGGCCGTGAGCGGGAGCAGTCAGACAGGCCCTGCTGCCCCCCTGGGGCTCACTTGGGGCTGTGTTTGTGTGTGGGGGTGATTTCAGGCCCATTAACCCCCGCACTGGGCCCTCCATCCTTCCTGGGGGGAGGACCTTGTGGGGAGCGCCTTTCTCTAGAAGAGGCTGCCTGCAGGGCCAGGTGGGCGGGCTGCAGAGTCATTAAAAGTAGACATTTAGAGCCTTAGCTGGTTTGGCTCAATAGATAAAGCATCAGTCAGCCTATGGACTGAAGGGTCCTGGGTTCAATTCCAGTCAAGGGCACATGGTCAGGTGGTGGACTCCATCCCCAGTAGGGGGTGTGCAGGAGGCAGCCAATCAGTGATTCTCATCATTGATGGTTCTATCTCTCTTCCTCTTTGAAATCAATAAAAAATAATATATATATATATATATATATTTAAAACGTAGGCATTGAGGGGCAAACATTACGGATGATTGGTTGTGAGGACGCAGGGCAGGGCTAAGACCTGGGCTGGGCTCTGGGGCCGGAATGACTTGAGCAGAAACCTCAGCCACTGACCAGCTGTGCGGCCTGGCAAAGGTTTCGGGACCTGTTTGAAATGGGTGACAGTGCTCCTCGGGGCACGGAGACTCAGTGAGGTCCTGTCTGAGCAGCACCGAGCTCCCCTGGGGACACCACTGCCTGCAGACCTTCCACACCTCACCGCTGGTGCACAGCAGAGGGCCAGGCTCACCCCAGGACAGTCCAGTTGGGGACCAGGGCAGGCTGGGAGGCCGGCCCAGCTGAGGAATAGCCCAGCTAGCTCCCAGGTCCCGAGCCCTGTGTCCCAGGCCTCCAGGGCCTTAAAGAGCCACGACTCCCGAGGAAAGGCCCAGAGGCTGAGTCCTGTCACTCCCTCCTACAGGTGGACTCTCACTCCAGGTGCAAAGCTAGCCATGGACCCCACAGCCTGAAACTCCTTTGGGGCTACGACCCCTCTCCCCCACCAGGTTTCCAGCTCTGGGTGTCAGTGCATCCCACAGCTGGATGCAGCCACAGCGAGGCAGACCACTCCTGCAAGCTGGGGCTCCTTGGAGAAGGAGCCGACATCCCTGGCTGCTGTCCCAGGCCCCAGCTACCCGCAGGGTCCCGGCCTGCACCTGGGAAAGCTCGGGTTGTCCCACAACCCAAGGGGTGGGTGAGTTACAGGGAGGCCCAATAGATCCAGTGACTTGCCCAAGAAACCACCAAGTGGCAGGGTAAGGCTGGGGCAGGCTGCCTCCTCCCCAAAGGTCCTTGCCCTTCCTGGGGCAGAGGAGCCACAAGAGGCCTGGGCACAACAGAGGCTATGGGGGTGAGGTGCCAGCCGAGCCCAGGATCCCAGGACTTATGGCCTAAGTCCTGCTCTGGCCTCTGGAGGGAACTCTCGCCTCTGGATCTGGCTGCGGGTCAAGTCTCCCAGATGGAAAACCACAGATGTGTTGGTGTAAACTCCCAGGAGGGGTCGCTGGAGTCCTGGCCTCCTCGACTCCGACTCCACCCGTTCCCACTCCCCGAAGCCACCCCCCCAACCCGCCCGCCCACCTTCCAGAGAACTACCCCCATCTCCGCACCTCCCCACGTCCCCTGCATCCCCCACCCCAGGCCGTCCCCCAGCCCCGCGCGCGCCCACTTGCCCTGCCTCCCGGAGCTCCGTGCG